GCTCAGGTCATGATCCTGGAGTCCCGGGATCGAGTCCCGCATCGGGCTCCCTGCTCGGCGGGGAGTCTGCTTCTCCCTCTGACCCTTTCATGCTCTATCTCATTCTCTCTCTCAAATAAATAAATAAAATCTTTAAAAAAAAAAAAAATAATGGGCCTCCAAAAGCTCTACTGATCTAACTTATGGCTGTATATTACATATGCTATTAGAGAAACGGGCTACCCAGTTACTAGGATAAATAAGTGGTTCAGAGGCAAGAAATGAGAAATTTTATCTAGTCTTAGGCTTGGAAGCAAAGCACCCTACGTCTGTTTTCTTTGTGCTATTGCTATCACTTTCTTTTCTTTTTCCTCACCATTTCTTTCTTTGTCCCAAAGCACTGAACAGTAGTTTTACACGTTTGCTCTAATACTTCCTGGACGTTCATACAAAGGGATTAGAAGGGGAAATCAGCCTAGCAGAGAACAATGGAGTCTGTAGGCTTGAACTCTGAAAAAATACAGAACAAATGTGACTAATTTTACTTTATTTTTTTGAAATCTAAATATTTGTAAACTTCATGTGTAGAAGCAAATGAGAAGAGTTGTATCCTTAGCTCATTGAAATTACACTGTGTTTATACCTTCTTTTAAGTAACATATTCTTTCATTAAGATGTTTGTAAACTTATGTGTAGAAGCATATGGAAATAGTCCTGTGTTCAGCTTATTGAAACTACACTGTTTAACCTTCTTTCAAAAAAAATCTTTCATTAAGATAACAAGGATATACAAAGTTATGTGTAGAAGCATATGGGAGAAGCCATATGCTTAACTCATTAAAACTACATTGTATATATACCTTCTTTCAAGTATATCTTTCATTAAGATATGTGTTTCTTTTTTGTTGTTTTTATTTTAATTCCAGTTAGTTAACATACAGTGTTAGATCAGTTTCGGGTGTACAATACAGTGATTCAAAAATTCCGTACATCGCCCGGTGCTCATCACCACAAATGTACTTCTTAATCTCCATCACTTATTTAACCCATCCTCCAACCCCACCCCCCTTCTGGTAACCATCAATTTGTTCTCTGTAACTGAGAGTCTGTTTTTTGGTTTGTCTTTTTTTTTCCTTCACTCATTTGTTTCTTAAATTCCACATATGAGTGAAATCATACGGTATTTGCTTTTCTCTATTTCTCTTAGCATTATATCTCTAGCTCCATCCATGTCATTGCAAATGGCAATATTTCATTCTCTTTTATGGCTGAATAATATTCCATTATATATATGCCACATCTTCTTTATCTATTCATCTATGGATGGGCACTTGGGCTGCTTCCATAATTTGGCTATTGTGTATTGTTGTAGCTATAAACATCAGGGTGTAAATGTGACTAATTTTAGAAGAGTTGTTCTTGGGATAGTTAAGTAGAGAGCTATATAAATAAAGACATATACTAATGGACACTGTATTCTTTTTGTTTTCATTTGTGTTGCTGCAGGTTTTTTTTTTCTTTGAGGAAACATACACAGCATTCATTGATATTTGAACCAGAGAGTATATATCCCACCTTTCCTATTTTATGAAGATACAGAATCCTATCTGTTGGGGGAAAGTGGCTAAATGTTGCCTTTAGACCAAAAGAAAACAAAACAATTAGTGTTATTGAAGATTGTGTTAAACAGGAACTCATACTCTGTGGAAAATAAATTAGTATGAAGCTTTTGGGAAGCCATTTAGCAATATGCACGGAGACTTAAAATATTGGTGTCTTTTGACTGAGAAATTCTACTTCAGAGAATTTCTTGTAAATGAATAATCATAAATATAGAAAAGCCTTATGGATACTGGAGTTTATCACAAAACTAATTATAATGGAAAAATAGGAAACAATCTAAATGTCCATCTATAAGATGATGGTCAACCAATTGTTGTGTAGCCAGTGAGAATACATAGTAGGAGTATAACATCACATACAAAATGCTTTTGATACAGTGTTCAGTGGTGAAAACTGTAGTTTAGAACATTGTTTACTCAGTATGATTATAAGTTTGTAAAATATGCTTGGACAAATGAAAGTGTAGGCAGTGACTTATCTTTGGATGGTGAAACTATATAATTTTCATTTTCTTTTATAGCTATTTCAAAATTATCTTCAATGATCATGTATATTTTTATAGTGAGGAAAAAGAAAGTAATCCTTCTACCTTCCCACTAAAAATATTACTCTTCTTACAGCTTTAAACATCAGTAATAAAAGTGCAAGCATTGGAATAAGACTTTCGCAAAACAACATTGTGGAGCATGGATTCTCTATCAGAAGAATTTTTTACAAGGTAAGGGATAGGTTGGACAAAAATCAACCACATTTGTTGCATCTTGAAGACACAATATTTGTCCTTTCCACATAACTTTGGGAAGCTAGTGTGATTGAGATGCCCTTATGCTTGGAGATAATTTAGCAACTTTGATTAGTGGGTGAAATGTAATTACAGAAAATTTCTCTTAAGGACCACACTCTGGCTAAAGAGTTAAGTGAAAAATGTGCTACAGCTTGCTACATGTGGGCATTCTCACCAGAGTAGATTAATGTGATCTGTTAATTTATTTTATAAGCATTTACTGTAATGTTTATAATGTAAAGTACCTCCTTGGGACTTAGTAAAGGCAGACAAAATTTTGGGTACTTAGAATTATAATGTAGTAGGAAGATATATAAAAAGTTATATTTTTAGGCAAAATGCATGGCTCAAGTAGAAAGGAACAATAATGATTGACTGGGGTTGAGTGGGTTTCCACGAGATGACACTCAAACTGAACATTAAAGGGTAAGCATTTTGATGTACGTAGAAATGGAAGGAAACAGCAAGAAAAAGTACTTAAGATAAATGATTGGGAGGATTTCAACTGTCTTCTAAGTTTAGCTTTATTTTGGGCAGAACCAATGACCTTTTAAAAAGAGAAAGGAAATTTTACACTGTATTTTGGAAAGACTACTTATTGATGGTGAGAAGGAAGAGACAACAAAATATAACACTAGTAATAGTTCAGGAAGAAGCTGATGAAGGCTTGCAATGGTAGGAATAGAAAACAGAAGGGATTTATAGAACTAGAATCAACAGAATTCTGTGACTGCTTAAATATGAGGAAAGGGGCAAAAGAGAAAAAGAGATGACTCAAAGGTTTCTAATGACCAAGAGGAGATATGTACCATTAACTAATATGGGGCTCAGAAATGGAGACAGGTTTAATGTGTGCATGAGAAAGAGAGGACAGATGATGAATCAGTTTTGGACATGAGGAAATTGAGGTGTTGGTAATATATCTTAAGTTGTGGAAGTTGTTGAGTAGATGGTTAGAAATTTGTAGTAGTAGTGTCAAAAAGCAAGGCCGGAGGTATAGATTCAGGGGTTATTTGGTTGGGTGCTGTTAGAATTCATGAAAGTTGGCTTATTTTTTTATTCATTCATCCAACAAATATTTGAGTGCCTACTTTATGTCCAATATTGGGATAGAGACTTGGAGGTTAAGTAGTGAATAAGAAGGGCCTGATCCCCATCTGAGAGGGTTTGTTTATACATGGACATAAATGAAATTGACTTAAGTAGAAAATGTAGTAAGAAAAAGAGAGGGATAAAAATGGAACATTAGTGGGGTGCCTGGGTGGCCCAGTCAGTTAAGTGTCTGACTCTTGGTTTCGGCTCATTGGTTGTGGGATTGAGCCCTGTGTCGGGCTTCACGCTTGGCGGGGAGTCTGCTTGAGATTCTTTCCTTCTGCCTCCTCCCCTGCCTCTCTCTCTCTCAAATGGATAAATAAACCTTTTAAAAAAAAATGGAACATTAGTATATATGCTATGTATATTTCAGGATATATCGTTATAGCAGAACTTCAGCTCCTAATAGCAGAACAAAGCATATAGGTGGTAAAAGTAGCAAAATAGCAAAAGAAAAATACTAGTCTTGTGTCTAGTTCTAGCTTTGCTACTTTCTAGGTGTATAACTTAAAAACAAGTTATATAACCTCTCTGGACATCAATTATCTTAATGTATAAAGTGACTGCCGTAGATGACTGTGGATGTACCTACTATTCTAATATACCAGGAGCATGGTTTGATACTGTTAATCTACCTAGTTTGTATTAAATATTATTATTATTTTTTTTTTTTTTAAGATTTTATTTATTTATTTGACAGAGAGAGAGATAGCGAGAGCAGGAACACAAGCAGGGGGAGTGGGAGAGCGAGAAGCA